TTATAGTGGAAGAAGACAAAGGTTAACAACAGAAAAGGAACACGATAAATGATATATGCATTTATTTGTAGCCGTTCACAATTCAATGACAGTTTTATTCATCTGAAAAAACTACAATACTACAATATACTGATAATTTAGTAACCTTCATCCGAAAAGTTGATTTCATAATCCGGATAAGTTTTCTTTAAAATATCCACTGATACTTGGTGATCTGCTTTACCATAACCCTGCGAACAAAAAAGATATTTTCAGGAAGTAGCAGAAACTATTTTCATTGGGTGTGAGTCATTTTAAGAATGTGAAGGTCACATAAATAACCTATGTAAAAAAATTTCATCAGGATGCTTTGCAGTCAGAGTATCAGCAAATGAATTGGGCACTAATATGTCAAAAAATGTATACTTTGCTCTCATCGATTCCCATCTGAGATACGGTATCTGTTTTTGGGGAACGTGTTGCCAATACATGTTTGATAGGGTGTTTGTACTACAAAAAAGAGGAAGNGACACGCATCATTATTTTTCATTTCCACAACTAATTCTATATCCCTCGGAAACTGTAAGAAGAATATTCGTGACCCTGTGTCGTGCTGATTATTATTAATAATGATAATGATAGTATACGAGGCCTGTTAAAAAAAATGAGGTGAATATTCATTTTTTTCAGTAAATATTTATTTGTTCATCAATTTCTATTTTGTTCCCTTCAAAGTAGTCCTTCCTCCTTGGATATAAATTTTGCAAACAGGAAAAAGTCGCAGGAGGGCAAATTTGGTGAATTTCACACAAGTGTGGAGATCAAATCGGTATCGGAGTAGTTTGTGAAAAAAATAACCATATAACTGTGATTCGGCACCAGTTATGACCCTTTTGAGTAAATCTGGATGGCCGTTGACGTCATTCAATAATTCTAAAGCGATGCACATGTGACGGTGTTTTTGGTCAAAGTTCAGTAATTTTGGTCTTCGCCGCTACACGCTTCATACCAAAAATTCACGAAAAAATTGCCGACATCCTCAGCAACTTCTCCGATTCTGATTCGACGTTTCTCCACAATTTTCTTCACTTTCTCAACATTTTCATCGGCTATTGATGTACTGGGGCATCCAGGCCTAGCGTCGTTATTCACATCTTCTCGACCTTCTGTCAAAAACTTGTACCATTTGTAAACTTTTTTCTGACTCTGATAACCCGTAACAACGTTGGTTCCGCGTCGAACTGGCCCGCGTTAGCTTGGCTAAAACATTTACCCATCAAAGTCAGCATTATAACTTGGGACGTGTATTAAGATGCCATCCGGGAGACCAAGTAATTAAACAAAAACATCAGCTATTCACCCGTGAGAAGAGTTTTGTCACCAAATGAACCGCTCAGTAATCAGTATACCGTGATGCAGGTCATCTTCTTCGTGGTCTATGATGTCGAGTCTGATGGAACGGAAAAAGAACTTCTGCGAAATCATGTCAAAGACTTGCAACCAATGCACTTCGCGGATGACTCTCACCTAACAGATCTATTTGCTCTTTCCATTCTGATTGACTTCGAAGCGCCCGTTAGGTCTTCCAGCCGCTGGACCCGAAGAAAGAAGGCTGAAGCATGCGATATCGCCTAGACCAGTGGTAAGACGATCCGACCAGAGGATCAAACATCACTTTCTGGGTGTAATATATTGTTATTTTCATTGATTATGCCGTTATTAGTTTTCTTGTTGTTGTAACGGGTGAACCCGTCCCTCGATGAAGGATTTTGATTTTGAAAGGGAGGATGCCTGCAATTTCCAGATAGTGGATTCGTCTTTTTCGACAGTTTCACGTACCGTGTTCAGTTTTGTTTTTAGGTCTGTGGATTCCACCTTCAATGAAGAGGATATTGTAAAGGGAGGACACCTGATGAGTGATTTAAAATTTGAAGTAACCGAATAGGTTTACATTGATGATTGTTTTTCATTGTTAATACACTGTTTAATGAATTTTCAGACTCCAGATTTATTCCGAAAGGGGAATACCAGTAATTTGATAAGCTCTGCCGTTCCGCTCCTGGAAGAGTTGGGTGTGGTTGGAACAGTCATAGCCTGTCCGTAATATACCCGGTAGCTGACTATCGATTTTGTTCAGTTACCGTGTTACCGTGACTCTACTGTAGCTGCCCGGTGTAGTGGTGCCTAGCCACAGCCTGGCTGGCGCCTGATATTCCGACCGTACTGTTAAATGGCGTCAAATATTGAGTTGACGCAAATAAGAGCATTACAACATGATTAAAATGTTTACCAGAATGACATCCGATATCTTGAAAAGTGTAACAATAAATAAATAGTCTTCGACAATGGAAATGACACCCTTCATTATTTAGTCACTTTGTTAGTCCCAATAAACCAAACTGAATGCTAAGGGTTACGTCAAAAAAGGTTTTTCAGTTCTCACGTATATTTTTATGAAACATATTCCAATGGAATCTAGTTTGACTGACAAGAACAGAAAGAAATTTTCAAATTATATCCCTCGATGACTGCTATTATTCAACACGTGTTATTTCAAAATTGAATGGATATAATAGAACTCTTCATTTGAATGAGATGATGAAAGTAATGACGCAATACGTACCGGAAGTCATGGGTTGTAACATAAAGTACAGATTCAAAGACCCCTGCTATTATTAAATATAGGTATGAGAAGCTCATTCTCACATTAGAACGTCCCATTCAAGATATAGACATGACATGAAAGGATAGTAAAACCCTAGCGCGAAATATTCGCAGAACCAAGTCCGACAACCATCAACATAAAATGTTGAAATATGAAGGAAAAAATAAAAAACTTGGCATGAAAATAAAATTTTGTGTTTCACTTCAAAAGACTGTAAATCTTGCGGAATATTCGATCCAAGTGTAGTTGTGGGAGAAACATCTAGTTATTCTTCTCAGCTCCGTCCTCCTTTGGTCGTTGATGGATCCTTGAATCTCATACCTTTGAATACGGTCCAGCACAAATTTCAGATATAAAAACTACAAACATTTTTATATGATACGTACTTATCGCTAGTCTCGCTAAGTTAGTCTTTAATTTTGTGCCATTGAATGCGGAACGATGTTACATAATTCGTACAAAGTGTAACCAGTGAGAACTGAGGATTTTGGATGAAGTAATGGAACCGAAACGAAAAATGCCTCGTTTAGAACGGAAACTCAGTAGTGATAGTTCAAACATTGAAGTATCCTTCAGAGCAAAATAATGGAACATTTCAAAATTATGTAAGAATGAGATCTCAATTCTGAATAATCCAATATTCCCTGGGTATCACTCCATATCTAAGTACATATTTTGTGAAAGTATGAAAATGAATCTATTTTCAACATCACTCGATGTTTATCATGAAAATTTAAACGAAATTAGGTGATTTTTTGCTTTTTTGTACTATAGGCTCAGTGTCGTCTTCCGACAAATCCAAACCAACCGTCATACCGTTACATTTTCTGCACATGTACACTCTGGATTAACTTCTGTGGTGGAAAAAGCATTGTAGGATCAGCGAGATGTTTTTCATTTTCAGAACAATTACCAAACTGTCAAAATGAATTGGGAGCACCTATACATGGAAAACTTATTTGAGATAGTGTTTTCAACGAAACACGAAAGGACCTACAACAAAGGTATTTCTTATTCGAAAATTGTTCTTCTTCGAAAGTACCAAAATTGAGTGAAGAATTGAAGCAATTAATTCCAGAATATATTTGGAAACGTGAATTCTTTTTGATAGCTCTTTCAGAGTGAATCGGTGTGGGTTTAAGTGGACTAAGTGGGCTACTCAATCAGAAGGCTCAGGTTTCAAATGTTGACATCACCAACGAGCATAATGAAATATTGGCTGACTGCTCAAATTTGTGGAAACGTACATTATGCCCTTTCGATTCATCACAGAACTGAAATAATTCTTAACTCTTTTTTTCTTCCTCTTAGAAGATGATCACTTGGTGATCGAAACACGTGTAGAGGTGTTTGAAATAACGATTTGGTTTTGGGGAAAAAAACTCAAGTAATATTCATTACTACAACAAAGGTTCCAAGCAGTGCATCATATGAAATAATTCTATTCATCAATGCGGATAGTATATCAACCTCTATTTGAAGCCCAATCAATGACTACCTTTATTAAATAAGGAAACTATATGTAAGTTCGGACATTCAAAGGGCGAAATTCTATTTTTTGATTCCCAAACCGAACAGAACTTTTAGATTTTTCTTAACATAAAGATAATAAATCAGTTAATTTTTACNTCGAACCCACGGTCTTTCGATCGTGAGTCGTGCGCACTACCACCGCGGCCAATTCCACAACTATAGTAGTACACTATGAAAAAAATGATATAACCTATACACAAAACTTAGTAAATTCAGAATCGTGATACAAGCATGGATATCCCACCCAAGTTAAGATTTTGTATCGTGTCGAGGACTGTGTGGCATTAGAGTGACTGAAAATGATATGTCGTTAGCGATACACCACCCAAGTTAAGGTAAAAAGTTAAAACGTGCCGAGAGCTGTGTGGCATTAGGATGAATGAAAATCAGACACTAAAAATTTGCGAATAAAATAAGTGATTTTTTTTTATATTAAACGGTTGTGTTGAAAAAAAAAAGATGATGAAGATAATGTACTGGAAGATGAAAAATAAATTGGAAGGTCATAGGTAGCAGTGATCACAGATAAAAAATGATAAAATCTTGTCATCACTGTAGATTGCTGAGGAGAGTGGTGTGATGACTGCTACCTAGGATATTCCAAATTATTTTTTTAGCTTTCAGTCCATTATCTACATCATTATCATTTTTATTTGCCTAATGAAACCGTTTAAAATAATTAATTTTTTACTTATCTTATGTACTACTGCGTATCCAGCGGTGTGGTGAGATTACTTGTATTTGTTTTGTGGCGCGATAGTTTTTATTCTGTGCGAACTCTTATTTGAAGAGATATATTAAGCTTTTCCTCAAAGACAGAGATAGACGATTTTTTCTGTAGATCTATAAAAAAGAACAGAACGTAGTGAATTTTTTTAAACATCATGGGGTTTCACATTATCATTAACGATAACGTTCCTTCAAGATATTTCCTCAATTCCACTAATTTTAATTTTTTTTTCTAAAAGCATAAAATATGACATAGTTTATGACTATACCGTACAGTAATTTTCAATTAAAAAAGTTACTTTAGAACAAAAAAATTCAGTTTTCTGTATCCGCTTTCTACATCATCTAAAATGTACTGTATGTTAACAAAAATCACTATTTCATTAAAAAGTTATGGAATAATTTAGTCAAATCACCACCCTTATAGATATGGGTAGGGAGTAGATTTTACATTTACCACCACATACATGTATCTGTTGTGGATACTTGAAATTTATTTCATTAAAACCATGAAAGAATGTATGACCTTTGCATGAAGAGCTCACTTCTAGTATCTGAATACTAGTTTTCACATGCGTCACTTTCAACTGAAGCGATTAGGCTGAAATTCATTTTTGAATTCAGTACTATAAAAATAAAATATTTTGGAGAGAATTCGACGGACCACCCTGAAATGTCAGCATGGACTTGCAGAGAGAACTATAAAATACCGAAACCTAAATCACATATGTCTCAGTGAGCTCACCTGTGAATATCCGTATACTTTAATTTGTTTACTTTCCGGATCATGGCTTATTCGTCCTCCTCCTAGCACTTTCGATCTCCAGTCACGAATAACTTTGGAAGCTTTTAGCGCTTGAAGTTCCGAAGTTACTTTATCGTTGATGTCAGCTGAAACAAAAGAGAGGTTTTCATATTTTCAATAAAGGTAGATTTTTGTGATTGTCCTTAGGGTCACATTCCAATAGAAAATATATCAACCAAATGATTTTTTGATAATTAAAT